ACTACCATGTCCATAGCCATCACCGTAGCCAGATCTATGGGGCATGGCCAGAGCAACGGCCATCAAAGCGAATATTACAATCTACATTTAATAGAGAATTTTTAAAATTAGTTTCTTTCCACCAAAACTGTTCTACTCGACTTACCAATGGTTTCATTTTGGATGATATTTCGCAAATGAAATCATTTTTCAAACGAATTCAAACTTTATACCAAAAAAAGAGAGTTTGAGTGTTTCGACTGAAAGATACCTATTAATCAGAATTTAATTCTTACATCTTACATACATTATTCTCTTTTAGACATCAAGATCAAAGAGTACTTGTTATTAAGAAAGCCTTGAATGCCTTGAACTCCAACGAATACCTATTAAAATGATAAGCTGATAATACAAATATTCAGACACAAAAGGTCAGACTTTTTGATGTCCATTTTAGGTTTTACCCGACATAGAACTTCCACAAAAAAATAAACAAAATAATTGAATTTTTGATTAGGCATCAAAGAAGGCATACCGAAAGGTTATGACCCATCCCATCAATAGACTCATCCACAAATTGTTTATAGAATTAAGAAAACAGTTTTACCAGCGTGTCTATCTCTCTCTTCGTCTCCCAAGGTGGCTTAGAACTTAGGGATTATTTATATATTCACCACTTCTGGTCCTGTCCAGCTCTCTGCAGAATAAGGCTTCAATACTTGGGATTGGCCTTGCTAAATGACATTTTGGAGATGTCTACACTATGTTCCAGGAAGATCGCTAACTTTGTGAGAGCATCCGGATGGGATAATTGCTGACGTGAAGTCCCACAACGCAGGAAGGGAAAGATCCCAAGCGGTATCACAATGGGTCGTAACAGGCCGAAGAGCGACAAGCAACAGCCTCTACCTAACCATATCTAACCTATATATTCATTGTAAACATATTTGACTTGTTTATTTAACCCTGTAATCACAATCTGTTCGTCCCATCATCTATTAGAAAAATCGAAAGTCAATAACAGTCCTTTCTAAGTAAAGTCGCTCCCACTATAAAGTGTTGGTGCTCCCTGCTCACTAATAATTTCATTTCAATGGAAGTCCAATTTATTCCTTATTTATACGATTCGGCGAGAGATCGTGAACCCAAGTACTTCTTAGATTATCTTTGAAGCTTGGCCTTTGTTTAAATTTCGACAAAAAATCCATAAAATTTAGAGTTTCCCAGAAATCGCATTTAGCTTGAATTCACATTAAATGTCAATCTGCTGTTATCATTTCTTCTTTTTCTTCGGGATTAAAAGCTGCCGTTTGTATTCCAAACGCATTCATTTTCTTAATAGCAATCGAAATGGTATCTAAGTGGAAGGCCTAAGACATCTCTGGATTTTGTATAGATTATATTTCTTTGCAGAAAATTGTAATTATCGTCTTGGTCGTGCTGGCAGCTTCGATTACAGTGGAAGCCAGAGGATGCTGTTATATAATTTGTCAGCAAAAATCGCGAGAACAACACTATGATCCGCCAGCCCCGAATCCACCACCAGTCCGGCAGCCTGCATCGAGTCCCCCTGGTTCGAGTGCGACATATCCTATCATAGATCTCTCTGCTCGTAGATTTTGGCACAAAAGATAATGTTATATGTGTTTGCATGTTAATCTCAGTACAGTACTCGTAGATTCTTGTTCTTCTTTTAAAACGGATTATCTTTTTACCAAAATTGTTTGTTAAAGTCAAGTTGAAGTAAAGTTGCTGGTATCATAAAAACAAAGTAAAATCTTTATGATATATAGTCGTCTAAAATAAAGGTATATTGTTTACTGTGTCAGTAGGAAGTGGCATCAGAATCTATCATCCAACCTGTTCGAATCAGCAGCAGCGTGTACAAAACGATCAAATGAGGATCAAACATGTTCGGTCTTGTGCAGTTTGATACTCTCGCTATACTCTCTCCCAGAAAGGCTTTGTTTTCTCTACCCAATTTTTACCCGAAATAATTCTAAGGATTGTATTTTTCGTAGTGTCGTTTATGTATTTGATCAATCAATATTGTTTAATGTCCGCCATGTCCGGCCTTGTTGTGTCCTTGGGCGTTGCCTTGCTGGCCATGGCCAAAACCTTGCTGGCCGCCCTGTCCGCCATGGCCAAAACCTTGCTGGCCGCCCTGTCCGCCATGGCTTCCTGCTTGCTGGCCATGTCCCTGCTGTCCATGTTCGCCATGGTTACCGGATCCAGCGGCCAAGACAGCAACGATCAAGGCGAAGAAAATAATCTAAACGGAGGAGAAAAGAAGATCCTTTAGCAAACACAAACTCCTGAATCTTTCACGACATTTTCTTTAGACTTACGAAGAATTTCATGGTGATTTGGTTGCTGCGACTCAAGTTCTTAACTGACTACCAAACGGCCGACGACGAGGCTTATATAGCAAGATTTCGAACATAACAAAATAATAAAAAAAAGATTGTTTTGCATATTATACGAGTAGACTTTATTTGCTATCACCTATACCGAAAGACGACCCCAAAGACTGACTTGTTTCGTTGTATATTAATTTGCCGTGATTAAATGACATTTTCTATTGACAAAGATTGGACCCGTAGCCTCCACCAGATAGCGCAGGGCCAGAATTAAATTCTTTTGCACATCATTGTTTATTAGCCATCAGGGTTTTGGGTTATTAAGCAGATCTCTGGCAATTTTTGCGTGTTAGATTCATTCACTATCTATGAGTATTTGTTATAAGGAAAACCAATGCCTTGATTCCCATTTCAGGGTTTTCCCCCACATAGAACTTCCACAAAAAAACAACAAAATAATTGAATTTTTGATTGGGCATCAAAGAAGGCAAGCCTCTCACTTACAATTACAATGCAATAGTCGTAGGTTCTGGTTCTACTCTAAATTCTTGTCATCTTGTTAGATTTGTGTCTTGTGTATATTAGCTGAAATTTTTTTTTCTGAATTCGCACTGGTATCGTAAACACAAAGTAAAATGTTTATGAGGCAATTATTCTCCCTTATTAGCATTGATCTCTCTCTCTCTTTCTCTTAAAAACTGTTTGTGGCTTATAAAAATCCAGTTTTCCACTACCTATTATCTCTTATTGCTTATGAAGAAAGACCTTTGGTATTATTTGAAATCGGATTCATTTGTTGCAATCAATTGACAGAAGTCTATGACAGAATTATGGTTTTAATTAAAAGTACTCCTACAATCGGACTGATTTCTTCACAATTACTTATTGCCTTCTATATGTCTTGAATCACTGATCATAAAGGTGCTTGGCGGCAACTGAGTGAATTTCACATAGGTATATTGTTTACCGTGGCAGTTGCAAGTGTTTAATCCATCAGAAAGTTGCATTTTAGTATGATCGAATCTGCTCGATCAGTGGCAGCATGTACGTACCAGTTCCGCTCACACAAATCGAAGATCAAAAGAGGATCAAACATGCTCGGTCTTGTGCAGTTTGATGGCCGGTTCGAGGTGTTGGCAGGAACCTCTCGCTATACTCTCTCTCCCAGTAAGGCTTTGGTCTTTATACCCAATATAGTAACCGAAATAATGCTAAATATTGTGTGTTTTTTGTATTTTTTTAATCAATATTGTTTAATAACGTCCGCCATGTCCGCCCTGGCCGTGTCCTTCCTGACCATGACCACCGAAACCTTGCTGGCCGTGTCCTTGCTGACCATGACCGCCGAAACCTTGCTGGCCGCCCTGTCCGCCATGGCCTCCCTGGCCGAATCCTTGCTGGCCATGTCCCTGCTGGCCGAATCCTTGCTGGCCATGTCCCTGCTGACCGAATCCTTGCTCTCTACGTCCCTGGTTACCACCGTATCCGTTGGCGAAGACAGCCACGATCAAGGCGAAGAAAATAATCTAAAAGGAGGAGAAAAAATAGATGCTTTAGCAAACACAAAATCCTGAATCTTTCTTAAGACTTACGAAGAATTTCATGGTGATTTGATTGCTTAGACTCAAGTTCTAACTGATTGATAATCGCCGGACGACGAGGCTTTTATAGCAATACTGCGAACATAACAAAATAATAAAAACAAAGATTGTTTATACGAGTAGATTTTTTCATTTGTTATCACCTATGTATTCCGAAAACGACCCCAAAGCCTGACTCGTTTCATTGTAGATTAATTTGCCGTGATGAAATGACATTTTCTATTGACAAAGATTGGACCCATGGGGTCTTGTGACCTGCCTCTGCCATTTCGTTGATTTCTTTCGCTTTTTTTTACAAAACAAATCAAAACAGATAAGCCAAATGCCTTATCTGTACTTGTGTGATTCAGGGATTGTATTTTATATGGCATAACTTTTGCTGATGATGTGATCTGTTTCCTCCGTAACTTTGTGATCTTTTAAGCATAATTTTTGGCAGTGTCTATGCATTAAGTATTCGACAATAAAACCCCAAAAGATGCTCTCTCAATCTTAGACCTTAGAAGATGCTTTAAAAAACTTGCATTCGGTATGATCGAGTAATCTTTGGAATTCGATTTCCATAGAATACTTTTATATTTGCTGTCGAATTTTCTATTTATAAAAATGTGTCAAAGATACCAAATGCAACACTTACAACCTTGAGGTTGACCTTAAGCTCCTCTGCAACGATATATTTTACTCCAATGATTTTAGGAGCTCTTTACTCAATGTGTATTGAAGTAAAGAATAAAGTTTTTAAGTGAGAAAAGATGACATGGGAGACCGATAAGAGTATTTTTCAGGAGTACAAGTATCAGAGAATTGCATTGAGTATGATCGAATCAGCTTGATCATCATCAAAATGTTCGTTTGAGTTGTTCAGATGACACTAAGAACTTTGGGAACGAACATGTTCGAACCAAACAGCGCGATATGTTGGTTCGATATGTGTTCGATCATACTTTTAGTATGAAACGCAACGAACGATCGTTACCGATCGAACGATTGATCCGACTGATCCTCGTTTTCTTATCAGCGAATTTCTTTATATCTGTGTGATTCATTATTTTCTTAATCTTGTAGTTCTTTGTGTTTCGCTTAATGATTGATATAGGTATATATATTATACAAAATGTATTAAAGAAACAAAAAATCTAAAAATACTTTGACCTGAACATACCGCTAGAAAAAAGGCAAAAAATAAATCCAATAATTGTAATTATACGATTTATCTCGATTCCCTTTGCTGATGAACTTCTATGACTTTCAACGACTTTCGCCAGATCCACAACACCCTCGACAATGTACTTGGCAACAATGGGTCCAATGGTGCCCTCCCGAGAAGTTTCACCCTCCGCCAAGACGCCAGTTTGGATGGCCTCAGTGTATCGCTTTCGCAGTTCTTCAGCACGTAGCCTTTCCTCCGAGGTTAAGCCGATTTGATCTTGATATGCGTCATAGAACTGTGCCATCTCTCGAAGATTCCTTTCCTTTGTGGCTCGATTGACATCTGGATTTGAGTAGATCGCCAACAAATGGCGACCAGCGGTGCCGTATTGGTCATCATCCCCTCGAGTACCAGAACATACCAGTACGATCAGAAGACAGCTGAAACGACAGACTGTATACGAATAGCCCGAGGTTTATTTATTCACTGATGTTACCTCCAACGTATCAAATGGCCCATGGCTCGGATCTAAGAGACTCTGTTTGCGATCCGAAGTATACTGGTCGTCACCAAAGGGTGATTGATTGCTTTATAGCGATGTCTGAGAGAAATGATTATATGTAGATGTAGTATGGGTGTTGGTGGACTGATAAGCCGGACCTATGCACATTATATTTAACTGGAGATAGCACTGGTCCAGGGATCAGATCAAAACTAAACAAATTGCTGGGGTAAAAGATCAATGCTCTTTAATATTAATGATGTACCCTTAAAGCTTTAGTATGTGTGTTATACTTAGCCTAGTACTAGGTTATGTTTTATGCGGTAGAACTGGAATCCAGATCTCTATTCTATCCACTCTTCCAATATCCACGGGCGTCCATGTTCACGACTTCATAAAGTTTAGATAATGGAGGATTATTAATGGTTTGAAGCTCAGGCTCTGGCTCTGGCTCTGGCGGTGCCTCTGTTGTGGAACGGCAATGCTTGGGACGTTTTCTGCAATGCTTGTGATGGCTGGAACGCCTGTAATGGCTGCAATGATGGTGGTGATGAGATGCTTCATTTATGGCCACCAACACCAACAATAGAATCAAAATTTTCTGCAAGGAACATATCGTTTACTCGTTAGAAATTTTTTTTGTCCGAGTTCTCACTCACCAGTATTTTCATGTTGATTGATATTTCAATAATGAAAGCCAATCGAGCAGAAAGACACGCTTTTATACACGGAATCAGAGCATTAAAATGCTATCGGCAGATCAGCATTTTATGGTTTATTCGGGGAACTTTTTGGCTTATTTCTCTGAATTCCACAGAGTTCCCAAAAGTCGTCTGTGCCGATCATATACAGACAAAATTTAATTGGCGATTAATCTTTACCTTTTTTTTTAGCGCACTTGATGCCCCATAATCTCGTCGTCATGGTATCAGGGACTACCGCACTCATACTTTCAAGTATTTTCCACATCAGTTTCCATACTCTGCTCTCTTCTGTGTCATATTTTATTTTTTTAATTTATATTTTTCACTAGAGGAGTCAAGACAAGTATTTGATTTTTTGAAATTACTTCATAGTTGTTCTGTTTTTAATTCATTCAGTTTTAGAACAATTTCGGAGTATTCAGAAACCAAGCAGAAATTTCAGCAGTTATGTACTTGCTTATCGGCTGAAAGTCCCAATGATATATGTTTTATAAAAAGATAAGATTGATTGGATTGTCCCATAATATCATTTTCAAGGGCGTAATAATACAAGCTTCGTCAGCTACTATATTATCTTCAGAAACCAAATAGTAATAATATACCCCTAGGCTCATTGTGAGTATTGGGTATACAAATTTATCAACGCGTATTCATGAGATCGTCTTCTAAACCTTGGGTTTTTGCAATTTTTACGAAAAAATTATATTTCTATTCGATTTTGCAAAAATTCTGGTCAGTTTTATGCTTTTTTAAACTATGAACTCGTAAGAAAAATTCCAAGAAACATTATCGTTGGTCACAAAGCTGATGCCGAAACCGAAATGAAATTAATGGTAAGCCTTGTTGACTCAAGACAGACTTTAATTGTTTATTAAAAAAATATTTAAAAATATGTTTCTGCAGCGGATTCTACGAGTTTGTGCCTTGATGGTGAACATTGGAACTTTGGAAGGACTTTAGCTACAGGCAATACTGCGTCGCAAGGCCCTTAAATGGGCAGTATGTTGCAAGAACATTCTATGGTGGTCATAATTGAATAACTTGGCCTGTATTTGGATGATACCCATGGGTAGTAATATCTGAAATCTCTGAAGGATATCCCTGCGGAGGAACAACTATTCCGAGATCACACCATTGCCTTTCTATTGCTTGCACACATATTTCCCTGTTTTCAATCTATATTTGCAACTCCTCCAAACCATATTCAAGAATCTATAGTTTAAGAGAGTATCTGGGATTCTGTCAAAGTAAGGCTTTCTTTTCGTATTTTGCATTCTCCAACTATGACAAAAGTCGGCCATGAAAAGCACGGCTACCTCACAGATGGGCAATTGCCAATCTAGCTCCATTTAATTCAAAATTTCATGTCAGAGTCTGCTAAAACTTTTGTGTGGTATCGATTCCTAATACCTCACTGAGTATGGAAGTAATTGCCGCTTTGTGTTGCTCTCATATTTCTTGCAGCTTGTTAAAAAAGCTGAAGTGAACAAGTTTTGGCGCCTTTTTTGTGAAGCAAAAGTTTTTACAAGACGTAAAAACTCAAAGCTTAGCTCAAATTGATTGTGCTCTATCAATTTATACGCTTTTAGCTATTTGTTAAAAATGTGTATATGACGTGGAATTACATGTGTTCATTTAAAATAGTTGTGGAAATTGACCTTTGGAAAAACAGTTTAAAACAGTTATTTCCTTGTTTTGTTGAAGTTCATCTTGTGGGACGTCTGCGATCTGGTTTCGATTGTTGTTTATAAACATTCTCAAAGGTATTCTCCCAAGGCGAATCATTTTTTGCTGTTTGGTACAACCAAAAGGTCGCTATTCCGGCTGAGAATTATATATTTTGAATGTTTAATAATTATGATTATATGAACAAGACAAAGAGGGATATATGTAAGTATTCGTTCTGCAAAAATGGAAAAAATGTTTTAGAACATTGCCAATTTTCGAGAAGTATAATAAGCAGTGGTCAGAGGGCTATTGTCCAGTGGTCAAAAGATTTTGCAGATTTTTTATTAAAAATCAAATTAAACAAAGCTAAATCTCTGGCTAACAAAGCATTGAAGGAATGACGCGTAAGCTTGAACAAAGGTGGCGATAGATGAAGAGTTCAATTCGGATGAAGAGTTTGTCGCAGTGCTGGCAGTGTTCCTAAACGTCCTGAGGAGGCTTTGGCGATTTAAGTAGATGGGCGCTTCATATATATAGGCTTGTGGAGGAGAAAACTAACTCTTACAACGCAAATATTTTTCCAAGCTACGATTTATTGAGAACAGCAATAGTAAAGTGCTAGCCAAATGATATACAAGTCGGGGCATATTTGGCAAGATTTAATTGTGGCTGTTGCTGCCAGAAGATAGAAAAAGTAGAGATCCCTATAGACGAGAGAAGTACCAACAAGAATCATCTTCAATTAAGACAATACTTTAGCTATTTGGCATTCGTGTATTACCATTTCCATTTTCATTTGCTACAAGTACCCAAATGGTAAATGTAAATCCCCCACGGAAATCCATTTATTTTAATATTTTATGCATTCATTTAATTCTTCAAAGCAAATCAAGACAGGGACAGCGTAGAGCGGACAAGACAACACAACACAACAAATCGCAAACATTAAAAACTGTAAGCTTTTGCTGCTGGATGCCGGCTGCCGGCTGCCGGAAAATCCCCCGCAACAAAAGCTGCCGAGCAGCGTTTTTCCAGCGTTTTAAGTGGTAATCGTTTTAATTAGTTCGCAGTCGCGTCTTGCCTCCGCCCCTTGGCATTGCCATCAAAAGATTTATGCAAACGCATCAGCTGCTAGGAAATTATTCGAGGGGATAGCAGCTTATACAGTTTTCTCCACTAACATTATGACCGGGGATTTAGACAATCAAAACGGTTGAAGTTGCAGCAAGCAAACGGACGCTTCATCAATCTCCTTAAGCTTTGAGCAACCACACGACTGTTTCAGTAATACTTAAGCACTGCTTTTGGCTTAAATTAACTTCAAATTCGTTAGATGAGAAGTGATACAGAGACTTAATTTCTTTAGGGATTCAAATGATGCAAATTGGTGAAAAAATTAATATTTTTCGGCTCAGTCTTAAGCTCTTGTTGTTTTTTATTGCAATTAATGCTTTACAAAAAAAAAAAAAACTTATCGAAACATTGCTGTACACTGCGAATTTCGAAAGTAGCCTTAAATCGAAAAATATACTATCTTAATGCCTTGAGACCGTTCGAAGTCCATTTGGCAGAGGGATCTTTGGCCGTGGCTTGGTACATTATTATGGAGCCATCCTCAAACTCTTTCATGGCGAAAAAACATTTCCCCGGTTCCATCCAGACACACTTTTCTTTAGAGTCGCTGTCCGTGGGGTACTGCAAGAAGGATTCCCCCCATCTGTAATCCCAATCGTCGGTGCGTTTGGATGACACTTACCCACTTCTTGTATAGTTCCACCGGTTGATTTAGCTGCGTCCATCTTAGTGCCTTGAGATAAAATTTCAAAAATATATTTACGTTCTTTTTTATTTCCAAAGAGTATGACTTATTTAGCCTTGAGACGTCTTCGAGCTGGGTCCGGCAGCATTTCTGGTCCCTTGGATGGACCAGCGTCTGACATATTGCTTGAGCCTGGCGACGCATGTGCTCAAACTCCAGGTCCAACAGTTTGGCCAATTCGGTTTCGTTCAAATCATCCGGCTTCTTTTCCGACTTTTGTTCCCGCTTTTGTTTGCGCTTGTCTTCGCGCTTGTCTTCGCGCTTGTCCTCGCGCTTGTCCTCGCGCTTGTCTTCGCGCCTCTCCGACTGGCGTCCCAGGCAACAATCCATTTTAGAAGGAGTATAAATAGGAAACGAAAATTTTGTATTTCTTAAAATTTGCTTAATTGCTGAGAATTTTGATCGACTAATTTTGAATTTCTGTTAGTTTCGAGTATATGGGAATTTTGAAACAGAGTTTACTACAGTTTTACAAAAATTTCTGAGTACTCAGAAACCAAGAAGAAATTTCGAGAAATATGTAATTGCTTATCGGCTGAAAGATCCAATGATATATAGCCTTTATGTTTTATAAAAAGTATAGTATATTGGACGCTCCCATAATATCTTTTTCAAACATAAAGTGGAATATATTTTATAAAAAATTCTCCCAAACGGTTGGACCGATTCGTCGTGTCTATTGCGAGCAGCCATACCAAAGGACATATCAAATATATTGTATAATTAACATAAACCATATGATCATATATATTGACTAAGAAAATTAGTGGCGCTGCAAACAACGTTCCCCCTCGTTTAGTAATGTGATTTTTATGTGACAAAACTATCTAAAACCAACGATAGTTCAGGGCTGGCATAGATAGCGCCGCGACAGGGACATACCAAATGCTACGATGATTTTCCACCTTTAGTATTTAGATGCCGTTCTCATATATTTTGTATATGAAGATGATAATCAGCTGTGATCGTAAACCACAATTGAATATATTTGCTTTGTTAGGTTTTATTCTAAGCTAGAATCCTAGTTTCACAAAACCCTATATCATTTCATAAAGACCGAAAAATAATCCATATTAACTTCACTATCACAATAAATTTCAAGTGTTTTGTGCAATGGAAACTCAGAAAAATCATTAAAAAAAAAAGAAAACAGCAATAGCCATTAAATGTCAGGAGGTTGGCTTCAATCTAAAGGCTCCTGATTAATTTCATCCACTTGGGTCTCATCTGTAGTTGCGCCTATCAGATGAATGAACTGCTTTATGGCCGAGCTATTACAATCATTCGTCTGAGAAGCCATAAAGGCCTGGGTCCAGGGTATGGCCATCAATGACATGACCTTGGATATCTTCGGCTCTAGATCCTTTTCAGTTTTCAGGCGAGTCAGATCATTTTCAGCTACCATGGGCTCTAGAACCTTTCCAGTTTTCAGGGGCTCCTCTGTCTCGGATTGATTCGGCTCGATGGTTTCGATTGACTCTGTTTCGGACAGCTTCAATTCCAATGTATCGTCAATTGGCTCTATCTCCGGCAGCTCCAAATGCTTATCACACATCATCGAGAGGAGTATCTGTTCGGTAAAGAGTGCCTGTTTCTCCCGGGTCTTGCTAGCTTTTGAAGAGATCTTCCATTGCTTTTGCTGGCCAGCCATCCATTTAGTTAGTAGACAACGATCTGCCTTAGGGCGGCGTTCTTTTTTCGGTTTCTCTGGGTGTGGAACCACCGGAGTGATTGGAGTGCTTGGAGGCGAACTGGTTCTTCCAGTAGGGTTCAAAGCTGATGCACTACTCCCCGTCATGTTGGCAATTTCTTCGTCGGAATAAAGACTGCGTAGATTATTCAATAAGTCGTTGCTTATTTGCACATTGGACAGATCGAGAAATGTATCATCAGTAGCGAATTGTCCGGTATTAACCAATTGCGCGTAGGCAGCATCCTCTTGCTGTTGCTGTTGCTGCTGCTGCAGCAGACGCGTGTAATTCCGTCGTCGTAATCGTCTCGAGCTAGTGGCAGCCTCTGGCGGTAGTGCGGGCAGCGGTGGTGTATTCGGCTCCAGGAAATTCGCATAGTCAATGTGATTGGTCAGTAGATGACGTGATAGATTCTGCATTGTTCTCAGATTAGCTGCCGGCGCGCAGGCACACATGGGGCACACCACATAGCTATCGTCCTCGCTGTGCAGTCCGTACACATGCTGGATGAGGCCCTTGGCCGTATAGCCCATTACCTTGCAATACGGACAGGTGTAGCAGTTGGACATGTGCAATTGTTCCACGGCATCGCTGTCACTCGCTAGCTCTGGAACTGACTGCGGTTCCAGCAGTATCAGCTGCATGGGATGATCCATCAGATGGTGCTCGGTCTGGACACATTGATCGTAGCAGTCCCCGCACAGATCGTAGTTGCGGCAACGCAGGCAGCGGTATCTGCGGCCAGGAAACTCGTGTCGCTGACACCCATCGCATAGGACATGTCGATGGCCCATTGTGGCCATATCGCCTTGTGGCATTGTACGTACAGCAATCACCAGATCTTGGGGCTTCAATATGTCCAGTATTTTGAATTGCAGCAATGATGTGGGCTAAAGCATTAAATAATTATCGAAATACTAGGCAATATGGTTTTGAATTTCTATAGAAACGGTAACGAGCGACTGACATTAAATGTAGGGCTACTAGAGAAATGAAATTTATGATACACAAAAATTACTCTCTCATAAAGTAGATTTAAATTTAAAAGTAACCTTGCATTACTCAATGATCGCACCAGAACTGTCTCTCTTTCTCTTTCGCACTTTCTTTCTCTTTACCTCTAGCTGTTTTCTAGTGAGAAAATCTATCCCCTGCACATACATACAAACGTGAATTTTGTCCGTGTTCCCACTGGAAATTTAATTACTTAAATACATAGAGTTATCCTTTCAAGTAAATTAAAAATTGAATGTATAAATTTCATTTCCAGCTTTTTGTTCAAATATCATTAATTTCGTGGCTTAATTTATTTAGAAGAGCGTTAATTGAACATTTTTATATACCTATATTTGGTGCAATTAAACCTGATGTTTGCCGTGTGAATGTGGCTTAACCCTTTGCTGCCAGGAGACATTTGAGAACAAATATTCCAATCACTAAGAAGATCCAGCATGTTCGAGCCAACATTCCATTGAGGTGTTTGGCGGTTCGATGTGTTCAAACGATCAAACCCCCGAGTGATTCGAACTTCGAACATGTTCGTTGCGAACTTCGAACACGTTCGTTTCGAACCTACGCCAAGCCTACGCAAGACCTACGATTCTGCGAATTCCGAGCTTCACTCAAAAACTGATCTTGTTTTGCTTCTGCAACTATCGCTTGAATTCCATGGAAATGTGCATATGAACTCCAATTAAATTTTGCCCGTGCCACTAATGGGTTAAGAACCATCGTATGCTCTCATTTTATGGCTCTCTCTCCCTCTGTTTGCCTTGTGGTCGTCTGACTGTTGTTCCCGTTGCCAACTCTCTCTCACTCTTGCGCTTTCCTTTCCCCTTGACTCCCTGCCTGTGCCTCTTGTTCTCTTTCAATTTCCCTTCCGTGCCGCTCTCGTTGCACGGCAATTGTAATGCCCGTCTTCCGGTTTCCTGCACCTCGCCTGGTGTACCCTTTCCGGCCATCGTTTCTGGCCAACTATTCCGAGATATGGTAAGACTAGAGCGGCTCCTCTGCTCACATTTTCTGCATTGGTGTTGGTAATTATTTTATGGAGTGTTGCAGACGGGAGCCGTTAGCTCCTCCTCCTCCTCCCACACTCTGTGTGTGTGTGTGTGTGGGGGGAAACTTATGTTTACCAAGTGCGAAAGTGGAAACGTGCTGCAAACATGAAGTTCTTGTGCACCCACTGCCATACCCCAATCTCTGTGCCCCTCCTGCAGCTCCTGCATGTTGTACGCTTTATAATAGGATTTGAATACAATGGCATTGTAATGAAATGTGCAGCAAACGATGGGCTGCAAGTCGAGTTTTGTGGTTGCCTCTCTGGGAAGATGCTTCTGCTTCCTTCTGTGTCCATTGGCCAGAGTACAAGCCAAACAGCTGTTCCGCTTTTGTCTGCCCGTTTTGGCCGTGTAATTCCAGTTGGTAATTAAAAGTAAAGCAAAAGGCAAACAGCAGCAAAAGCAGCACACATTAAATGACCATTTTACACGTGCATGTACATATATGGCACTTCCCTCGTATCCTCCGCCGTCTTCCAAGTGCCTTAACATTGGTTTTTATTCGAAAGCAGGGGGAAAGAAATGAACACTTTGGGCTGGCTCCTAAAGTTCCCATAATTGCATTAACCCCATTAATTAGGTGTACTAAAATATTTTCCTTCCTGCTGTGCAGGAGCTAGAGTGTGCCTTTAATCAATCAACGCCTGTCGGACCTTTTGTTGATTAATTTCTCAATTAAAAGTAATTGAAATTTTATTTTCATTAACCTTTCGCGGCCAATCCAATCCTCTTTCCTTTGTGCTAATTAATAGAGAGCAGGCTTTTGGGAAAAATCTGAGTTCTTCCCCGCAAGCGATTTGCCCACGAAAATTCCAGGGGGAGTGCCATTGCTCATTAACCCATTGAGGGGTTGACTACCTAATTGCGCTACCATTTTCCATTTTCCCCCATTTCCTGTCAATGAAAATTCGTTCCATTTTCGTTTTTATTTATGTTAATTTTCTTTTCTTTTTTTTTCTATATAGAGCTGAGGGGTTACGCTCAATTGCTTTTGTAATCAATCAAAGTCAAAAGCATTGGAGAAAGATATAGAAGAGCATCTGAAAGGGGATGGGGGGTGGGGTGAATGCTGGCAACCCGTTTTTACCAAAACGGAAACTGTATTGTCATGTGTGTGCTCTAGATGCTGCTGCCGATGCTCTTTGTTCGTATTTCGTGTTGGTGTTTGACGTGACACTTGAGCGACACTTGAAGCCCGATAATTGATATTGTGTGCCTGAGGCGCTGGAGATGTTGAGAGGGTGGCTAGGTGGCTGGTGTCGGATGCCCCCGTAATTGCCGCTGACACATTTTGGCGGTTTAGTTGCGGGTTGCCGGGAAGCGGGGGGAGGCCAAAGTCATTGATAAATCTAAAAGGGTTTACTCCCTATCAATCACTTATACGAGTAGTGGCTTGAAATCAACTAAGTTTTGCTGAAAACTATAGTAAAGATCTAAAAGAAATGAAAGAAGAGTAAAACGGAAACACTGCACTAAAAGAAAAGTTTTAAAGCTTCCAATCGCTCGCGAATGATGCTAGACTCAAGGACCCTCAAGCGAATGAAGAACGTAGAATGAAGAAGAAAACAACTCTAAGAATACATCAAAATTACATGTCGTGTGCATGATTGATGCTCATCACAGCGAAAGATAAAAAAAAGAAAATGACTGAAAAGGGCAACAACAAAATACATGTCGTGTGCATGACGATAATGATTGCTTCTCTATCTACCCATAGAATCCATAACACAATTTTTATTCCTAATATAAACATTGCCTTTCAACTATAACCTAACTTTCCCATACTTAAAGTTCTTTAATCAAATAATTTGATCAATATGTAGTATGTATTTTGAACACACACACTTAGTGTCAACTGCAGTATCCAGGGAGTTAGCACATGGCTCCTCCATGTCGCCGGTACCTCTGGGGAACCACACTCAAATGTCAGGCAGAGATAATTGTTAACCATTAAGTGGCACCGCAAATCAAGTGCAGCAATTGGACTTGCAACTGGACTGCAATTCATTTGCGGCATGGATCATTAAAGGGCGCAGGGTCAGAAGTTTGGGCCAAAGACAAACCGCACGCAAAGTTGCCAGCATGGCCAAAACAGACGTCACCTCGGAGGCCCACAACCAAAAGCCCCCAGAACCCAAGCAGAAGGCAACAGCAGTCGCCCAACCCCCCCCACAACTGAAAGTTGGAGGCGAGTACAAAGAGTTTCCCCATCAAGTGATGGATGGAATGGAAATTGAATGGGGAAAAAGGATTGCAGAACGGTTTTACGCTGCTTTTCAGAACCATTAAGCATTCAATGATAATAATACTGATGATGATGATGGCATTAGAGTGCTTTGAACTTTTGAACTTTGATAACGATAAAGATGCTGATGCTGATGGTGTGTGTCGGAAACTATTTCTCAGTTTGGAATATTTAATGTACACCAGAATTCTATCTGTCATTAGTGTCAGTGAGAAATTATGGTACATCCCGCGCGCGTCAAATCCTTTTAATGTCACTCCTCTACAGCCTTCAGCCTTCAGCCTTCATCTCAACCCTTCTCAATCACGAAATGAAAGTATTAAGTCGATTCAGTTAATAAAATGTCAGGCCAGAGGAAAAACAGAGACTGAAACACTGACATCTATTAAACAACAGGGCATTAATATTCATTTATCTATCCATAATATAAGTAAAACTTAATAATGATACTCGTTTTCGGAGGGGACTATGACATTTTAATTAAAGCGAAAACCAAAAACCGCAGACAGAGTGAGTGCCATAAAAAATAGCACAAAATAAAGGACCGCCGCCTTCAAATTCCTCTTCAAATTATTAACATCACAGGCAGTCCACAAAGAGGACAACAAAAAGTACAAAAGAGCAAAAGTAAAGAAAGCAAAAGTTTTGGGTGACACTACCGACGCACTTTTATGGGGAAAGTCTCAACCTGTGACACCCCCACGTTGTTATCCTTGTCTTAAGTGAGAGATACTATCTTCTCTGTATCTCTGTACTAGAGATGGTAAAAAGAAAACTACTGAAAGAGCTTGACTTATCCAAAGAGTACTTTTTAGTCCAACGGTTACCATCTCTAGAGTGGGGGGTATGTGGGGTCTCTTTTGCTTAAAGTATGATTGCAAGTGTGAAAATATATATGCTAAACGTGCCCCGCCATCACCATGTGTGTGTGTATGTATGTGTGTCCCTCCCAACCGTTGGCCGTTGCGCTTCATGCGTTTTTGTTTTATGACGCGGCAACGTGCTCGGAAAATGAAAAGCACTTGACGCGCAGCCAAAGTGCTGAACTTGGCGGTCCTCTGCTTCACTCCCCATCCACACAGAACGTTCATCAGACCCCAGTAGACTTCACAGTCTCACAGTTGGTCCTCCCCACACATGCCAAATCGTAAAATGCTTCATTCTTTTGTTTTTTTTTTTTCCGCTTTACTGTTAAAGTTTTTTGATACTCTATTTGAAGGGTTTATCTAATAGATAGCTCCGTTAGAAGAAGAAATATAAAATTTTGTACTTAAAGCTGAACTATTTTCAACCCCAATTTGGTATATAACAAAAAAATTAAAAGAAGTATTATGCAGAAAAATCATATCTATTCGATTGTAGAATCTGGCAGCGATCGGATCATTATTATAGTCCGAAAGAATAAAACGGGTCGTTTTTTTCTATTTGAGCACACGGACTTCTAATAATTTTTTTTGTCAGATAAACGTGTTTTTGATTGCATACTTTTAGGACGCGTAGGCTGTTGGCAGACCTATTTCCGGAAAGAGTATTTTCTCAGCAGTCGAAAAGACACACACATATCTTCTATATGTTTTTTTTTACTCATTCCTCACTGTTTTTTATGC